AGGGTCACATAGCTGTAAACCCAGGCAATTTGGCTGTGGCGTACCTGCTTTTAACCACCATGCTATGGCAATTCTCTGTGTTTTTTTTTTTCTTTCCCTTTTTTTTTTTTTTACTGAGATTAGATTATATAAGTGGAAAATAGCGTAAAACAAAATATAAAGTAAGGTCTTCAACAAGGCCACAGATATCAGGTTGACTAATTTAGATATGACATTCCAAGAGAACACTGAATATTCAGTAAATAATTCTTGACTATTCAGTTACCAAACCAAGTGTTAAAATATCAGCATGCACTTCTTAGGTATTTCTTTTCATAGTATTAGTAGAACTTAATTTATCATTTACCAGTGGTGACTGCACTTAAAACATAATATGGCATTTTGGTGAAAAACATGAATTACAGATCTGATTAACTCAAAAATCCCCCAAATGGTATAGACATAAAAATCAAGCTAGGCACAGTGGTGCACACCTGTAGTCCCAGTTACTCAGGATGCTGAGGTGGGAGGATCACCTGAGTAGGGGAGTTCAAGCCCAGCCTGGACAACGTAGTGAGATTCCATCCCCCCCAAAAAATCATACAGAGGTATATTACAATCAATTCCTGAAAACCAAAGATAGAGATAATCTTAAAAACAGCACGAGGACAGGATATTAAAAAGTTACCTCTGAAATCTTATCAGAAACAGTGGAGGACAGGAGACATAGAAGAATATCCTTAAACTGCTGAAAGAATAAAACAAAAACAAAAACAATCAACTCAGAATTCTCTACCCAGCAACAATATCTTTCAAAAATAAAGGCAAAATAAAGATATTTTAGATACATGAAAGTGGAGAGAATTGTTCACTAGTAAAGCTGAATTATAATAAGTGCTAAAAGAAGTATTTCAGGGTAAATTCACACCTAATTGGTGTGGTACATACTGTCTGGGAATGGGGACATTTGTCGTTATGACTCAAAGGGTGCAAGGGCAATATGTGTAACCTCAACATTTGTACCCCCATAATATCTTGAAATTAAAAAAAAATTAAGAATAAAATAAAAGTAATTCACCTTGTAGAAAAATGATACCAGAAGGAAACTCAGATCTACAGGAAAAAAGGAAGAGCAAAAAATATGACAAATATATGGGCAAATATAAAAGACTCTCTTTTTTGTCTTAATTAATTTAAAAAGACAATTAAATATAAAAAGTATAACATTGTAGTGTAGGATTTATAACATATATAAATGCAAATAAATGAAAACAATAGCATAAAAGATGGAAGGATAAATAGAATTATTGTGTTGCTACTCTTAAATTTAATATAAAATGGTATGATACTGACTACTTGGAAACTAAGTGAGGGATGCATATTGTAATCCCTCCTTTACTAATGAAAAGAGCCAATAGAAGGAATTAACATGGAATACTAAAAAGTATTAGATTAATCTGAGAAAAGACAGAAAAGGAAAAATAAAAATAAAAAAGAGACAAATTGGAGAAAAATAGCAAATTGATAGACCTAAATCCAAGCATTATATTAAACATAAATGGACT